TTAATTATTATTATTATTAATTATCGTTAATTGGTATCATTAATTATTATTATTTCAAATTTAACATTTATAATGATAAAAAATCAAGAGAAGATGGAAAAGGACAAGAAATTAAATGAGTGAAAAAGAAAAATTAAACTAAAAATAAGAAATAAAATAAAAATTTACGAAGTAAAAGTTGTGAAAAAAAGAATTGCCAAAAGTAACATTTCATTGAAATGAATGAATAGTTAAATAAGCATTAATTTTGATTGATTTTTGTTGAATTTTTCCTTTTTCTTTTTTTTTTTTTTTTAAATAACATTACTAAGAATGGAACAAAACAAATTTTAGTTAAACGAAAGAGAAAAAAAAAAGTAAAGGAAATTAAAACGGAAGGAAAAGGAAATGTACTGTAAATATTTCAAATTAAAGGAGAAAAAAAAAAGCAAATTGGTAAATTGATTTATTTTTACTGAAAGAATTATTATTAAATGTAATTAGTGGAAATGTATAATTGGAATAAATCGATAAATTAAATAGAATGACACGTTGATAATTAAAAGAAGTGACAATTAGAAAGAATTAATTGATAATTAATTGCCAATTAAATGGCAATTAAAAAGTGTAATAAATTGATAAAACGAGTGATAAATTGACAATTAAAATGAAGAAAAAACATGTGTATCTTTTGAGTTAATGCTACAAATGAAACTGATAATATTATCATTATCATTATCATTATCAGTAATATTATGTAAATTAAGTCGTTCAATAAATTTAATATTTCTACTTTTATGTTTAAAAAAAAGAAAAAAAAAGAAAAAACAATATGTATGATTGTTCATGTGACAATGATTGGAAAAATTTTCGCAAGCATTAGCCTAAGATTGAGATTAAGGCTAAATATGAACTTAGTCTCGATATAAAGGTAGCAAGAGACTATTCGATTACTTACAGTAATCCTCGATATATTCTTTGTCATAAATTGTTGAACTTATATGGAAGCTATACAAATGTAAACATATCATCGTACATATTATTGATTGAATGCGTTAAATTTGCATAGATTAGCCTAGGAAATCATGATTATAAAATCACTATTGGCATATGCAATCATGATTATCTCATGAAATCATAATTATTGCACGAAAATTAAAATCATGCATGATTAGCTGATAAAAATTATAACTGATCTATAAAATTATGATTAATTTATGTTAGCTTATGAAATCATTATCAGTCTACAATTATCATGGTTAAATCATGATATTACAAAATCATTAATAACCCGTGAAATCATGATTTCTTCGTGAAATTATCCATTGAAATGTAATTTCGAAGCTATAAATATATTTTTGTAAACAATAACAAACATATTTTTCCTTATTACTAATACTTCTGCTATTAATTTAATCATTATGTATAAAAACAAACAAATAAATATATGTAAATTTATAAAATTAAAATTATTAAACATCAAAAATGCTGATTTTGTTTGCTAATTTTATTCATAAATTCGAATTAACACAATGGTTTCTTTTTAATTTAATCCTTTTTTTTTATTAATTTTATTATGTTAATTTTATTTTAATTAAATTTACTATTAACCTTTTTTTTTTTAATACTTTTATTAATTTTATTGTGAAATAATCGTAAAAGGATAATAAAATTGAGAAAAATTTTTGAAAAAAGAAAAAAGTGAGGTGGAAAAAAAAAAACAAAACAAATAATAAAATTTAATGCCTTAATTTAGCAAAGAAATTAAAATGCTAAAATTATTTATAAAATTTAAATGTAAAACCTTGTCAAAAGAAAAATGATCATATTAGTAAATTTTATTAATTTTTTTTTTTTATTTTTTATCTTCTTTCTTATTTGATTGATCATTGAAATGATAAGTTAAATTTGATGAGAAAGGTCAATGTGTCAATTCAATTCATTTCAGAATGATCCAATTCATTTATTCATTTCTATACTTTGCACAAGTAAAAAAATGCCGCCATTTTTAGAAAGGTAAAAATAAAGAATTTTTTTTATTCAATAAAAAAGAGTAACAAAACAAAATTGTAATGAAGCACAGAAATGGTATAAGAATAAATAAATTTAAAAAAAAAAAAAATGAAAACTTTCTTTTTTTCCTAAATTTAATTTTTAAAATTTTTAAGCTTACAAAAAATATTTCAATGTTTCTTTCCTGATTTTCTGATAAATGGGAAGGAAAAAAAAAGTGTTAAAATGAATCTTTAATATATTTTCGATTTTATTTGATATTTTGATATCTGTTATAATTTTTGAATATTAATTTAAATTTAAAATTTTTTTAATTTTTATAATTTTTGAAATTTTTTTTTCTTTGGAATATAAGACTTTATAGTTATAAATCATTTTATATTAAAAAAAAAAATGAATCAGAATGAATAATTCGGTTATTCGATTAATAATCATCCGATTTCGTAATTTATCTATGAAAACAAAAGAAAGAAAAAAAACGTTAAGTGACTAATTTTCTGAAAAGTTTTTCTTTTTTTTTTTCCTAATTTTTTAATATTTGAAGATTTCCCAAATAGGCCAATCATTAATTATCTTTAGTTTTAGAAAATGTTTCTGATTCATTAATTAAAAATTTCTTTTTTTTTTTTTTAAGCAACAAGTTATGTAAACTGTTTTGGTATAAAAAAGAAAATCAATTTAAAGAAAAAAAGAAACTTTTGAATGAAAAAAAAAGATTACAAATTAACTCAACAATTTAACTGTAAAATATTTGATAGAAATTTTCGCAAATTAAGAATTTTAAATTAAAAACTGAAAAGAATAATTAGAAATTAGAGAATGAAAAAATCCAATTAAAAATTTAAAATTTTTTTGCACTAAATGTTCTTTCGCACTTTTTTTCTCGTTTTCTTATTTTCTTGCATTTCAAAAATAAAACAAAAAGAAAAAAATGTCATTTATGAAATAATCATATTCATTTTTTTTTTTTTTACATCCTAAAATTTATCAAAAAAAAATTTACAAAACAAATTTTTTTTTTTCAAAACACATTTAAATTTATTATTACAAATGATTTCATATTATATGGCAAAATTAAATATAAAAGAAAAAATTGCAAATTTAAAAAAAAAATATTTGCAAATTTTTTCTTTTCTTTTTGTTTTTTTAATTTATAAATTAATTAATTTTTTTT